GTCCCTGGCCCTGGTTGGGTCCTGCAGGAGGCAGCCACTTGATGTGTCCCTTTCACATCGATGTTTCTCTTTCTTTCTCTCTCTCTTCCTCTCCCTCCCTCCCACTCTATCTGAACAAAAAAATGGAAAAATGTCCTCAGATGAGGATTAAAAAAAAAAAGATGTTATTGTGCCACATATATTGTTGCACTACATGTGGGCAAGACATTTATAAAGCTCATTGATTTAAAGAGCTAATAAAAAGGTACTCTTGTGATTCAAGAACCCATTTCAGATAGTAGAATAGTCTGTCTAAATTCTGCCCTATTTATTAAATTCTTATAAATTCTGCCCTATTTATTAAATCGTGTACCTTTTTTTGGTTTTAGCATACCTGGTCACTGTAGGATTAATGAATTCAGGAAATGTATAAGTGATTAGCATATTCTCATTGTATAGAAAAATTTGCTATTTTATTAGCCAGATGATGTTTTGTTATTATGTAACATCTTTCTACTATTTTCATTAGAAATTCTTCACCATACTGGGCAATTGCTAACATAATCCTAATTTTTAAAGGGACAGTGAAGATTGGCAGGTGATCTTACCCCTTATTTGTCAGGTAATTGGATGTATTAGTTGGTCCAGTTTGAGCATACTTGAGGGCCCAGGAATTCTTCTTCTGAATTAGGTCCTTGCTAAGTGGGTTGTAGGGGATTATGGACCACATAAAAGTATAACAGATATTGTTTGTGTGGTCCTGTATCTTCAAATTTCATCAGAAAACCAAAGAATTCTGTGCCACCAAGAGGTTAAGAATGTATTTTTGTTCAGTTTCACTGTGGGTTGGACACAATGGTGTTTTCAGAACACTTGGAAATAATAACGCCCATGTTTGTATTGCAGTACTTATCCAGCCACATACAGTATTCAGTTACAGAATTTCTCCTGCACTTTCCTCTAGTATTTTTAGATGTATTACAAATCTAGTGTAATCCCACTTCTGTTTCATATTACCCTCACTAATTTACATTACAAATGATCTTGAGAGCCCAGGGCATCTCAGTCGTAATACTGATCTGTTCTTGATTCCATATTTCCTTTGGGGTAAATATTTGCTGTGTTCTTTCATTTCTCCATATGAAAAATAGCATTTAAATAATGCCAGGACAGTTGACACAGTTCACAGAGGAAATTTTTAATTTTAATATTAGTGTTGTTACATTTCTAGCCTATGGTAAATGGAAAATTTGTGAGTAAATGCTATTATGTAATATTGTTCCAGCTTGCTTGTATGTCTGACATAAATTTGTTTAAAGCCTAAATGATCATATTTGGTATGGGGAGAAATGGCAAGCAAAACATTTCTGGGAGGAGACTTTTGCCTTAATTTATACTTTGTTTTTTTGACGGTTTATCACTCTACTATTGCAAAAGAGTATATATGTCCAACAGTATTTTATTGTTTGATGGAGATCTCTTAGGAATGAAAATAAACGCTGTGTAACCATAATCCTTAAAATGATTGAGGGATTACAAACCAACACTGAATCAAAACGCTGTTAATATTATTTTCTAAATATGCATGATCCAAGTAAGTGGTTTACATATAAGCAAACAATATTAGCTGGAGAATTTGTTGAAATGCACATGCTTTGGACCTCACCCCATAAGGATTTTGACTCAGTAGTTTTGGAGTCTGTGTCTTTACACATGTTCCAGGTGATTTGACCACATTGTGTCAAAGCTGATCTAGGTACTAAGAGGTTTCATGGGAATAGGTATAATATAATAATAATACCTTTAATATAAGAAAAGCCATGATGAGTGTGGAGAGGTGAGGGAGACACACCAAAGTATTAGCAATTGACATGGAGTAAATTTGTACCCCCCCCCAGACTCATTAAAAAAAACAAAAAAACTATTTCTGCCCTGGCCGGTTTGGCTCAGCGGTTGGAGCATCAGCCTGCGGTCCGGAGAGACCCGGGTTCAGTTCCCACTAAGGGCACGTACCTCGGTTGCAGTTTGTCCCCGGCCCTGGTTGGGGTCCTGCGAGTAGCAACCACTCAATGTGTCCCTTTCATGTCAGTGTTTCTCTCGCTCTCTCCCTCCCATTCTATCTGAACAAAAAATGGAAAAATGTCCTTGGGTGAGGAAAAAAAAATTTTTTTTCCAAAATTGAAAAATCAGTAAGAGGAATGGCATTATTTTACATTTATGCAAATGTTCTGTCTAGCTTAATAGAAGACAGCTAGACAAGTCTCATGTCCGTCTGTGTATTCAATCTGTTACAGTGTTTTGGCTGAAATCTATAAAGTCTTACACAGAAAAGAGAGGAGTATTTTAATACCTTTTTTGATACTATGCCCAAACTCCAAGACAAGTCAGAGTTTCTTTGTTGTTGTTTTATCCTCACCCGAGGGCATTTTTTGCATTTATCTTCAGGTATAGCGGGAGGGAGAAAGAGAGAGAGAGAGAGAGAAACATTGATGTGAGAGACCCATCGAGTGGTTGCCACCCACACAACCCCAACCGGGGCTGGGGACAAACCGCAACCAAGGTGCGTGTTCTCAGCGTGAACTGAATCTGGGACTCTCTGGTCCGTGGGCCAACGCTCTAACTGCTGAGCCAAACTGGCCAGGGCATTTAAAAATTATGTTTTTATTGAGTTTTTAGAGAGAGAGGAAGAAAGAGAGAGAGAAACATTGATAATCTGCCTCCTGCATGCCTCCCACTGGGGACCGAGCCTGCAAACCAGGCATGTGCCCTGACCAGTAATCAAACCAGGTCCTCTCAGTTCCTGGGAGGATGCTCAATCCACTGAGCCACACTGGCTGGGTGACAAATCATAGTTTCTTAAAGGTTAGTTGCAATGTGGAATCTGAAATCATATCATTGATTTTTTCCCCCCTTTGATACATTAAAATCCATTGGTCCATCTTACACTTTCAATGGATCTTTCCACCATGTGTGATTTTGTACTATTCAGAAAATATTTGTCACTAAGTTATGCAGATCTTCTAAAATCACATTTATTACTGTCCTTAAGTGTTGAGAAGCTGTCAAGCTCACAGTGGCAGATGTGAAGTTATCCAAAATGCTTGAAAGCTCAAAATTTATTATTGACAATAAATACTGTCAATTGTTTTCCTTGAAGAAATAGACTCACTTTGTTCATTTTTGAGAAAATGATTGCCAAATACCCATCAGGGTACCCACATTTTGTCAATTGTTCGTTCAAGTAAAAATGGTAGTCCATGTAAAAGCAGCTAGTGCAGCTTGCACTTCCATTACACAAGTGCTTTTTTTCCTAGACACCCATTGTACTTCACTCTGCAGCAGCACGGTGCTTCATAAGTATTTCCCATTTTGTCACAAAGAACATCAAAATGACCTGTACTTAAGGGTCAAGATTTAATAAAGTAGTAACTCCTACTGCTTGCTTCCTTAAGGGCTTTCGGAAAGGAAACTGGTGTGGGTTTTCCCTCCATTTTTTATTGCTTATATGTAGTGAAGAACAATGCAGTGACTACCAGTTCCATTTGCTGCCACTGCCTTGATTAGTGCTAAGGCACCAGCATTTTCCCCGCAATTGCTTTTGCACCATGAGTGCAAATGTCAACACAGTGAAAAGACAAATAATGTCTTTGTGTTATTCTAAAAATAGTTTTGACCTCTGAGAAGGTCTTGGGGATTTTCAGGAGTCCACTAATCACACTTTGAGAACCAGAGAACAGATGCATTGGGCCTTCCACCCCCAGCCTCCCAGCTTTGTATTTTTTTGTGCCAGACATCCACATGCTTGTATTCCATGGCTTCTTAGTAATACAGTCTGGAGTACCTCTGCAAGACGGGCAACATTGTCACGATTTTAGCTACAGTGGGGAGTCCACAGGACACGCATTCCTTTAAGAATTTCCAGCTCCTGCAGCGTGCTGAGGTCCCCATGGGTGCTGAAGCACAACTTCCCTCCATCTCTACCCATGGACGTTTTTTTCTACTTAGCTTTAGGCATAGTTTAAATTTAAATGCCTTCACCGCCCCCTTAGTAGGACAGATTTCTTTTGTATTTTTTATACTGTTTACTATATTACTCGTTTGCCTGCACAGTAATTTTTGAAAATTTGGTCAATCCCTTAATAACCTAAAGAACCCCAAATGAGTTAGTTTCCTTTGTAATCTGCGTGTTGTCCAAAAAATGGGAGAACGTTTTGTAAATATTTGTCTCAATATAAAATGAAATCAAAACTGAAAGCTAGCAAAGTAAAGCAAGTATGCGTTAGTTGCACATTTCCTGACTGCAAGCATTGCAAAGATCAAAAGTAGCGAACGTGGTTTACTTCTGTGGTTTTAGTCCTTGCTCGCTGCAGCCTCTTGGGGCTCAGTATTCAACAAACACGCAAATTGGAGCTGGAGTTCTGAGCGGCCGGGTACCGTGTGTTCCGGCGGTGTGTTTGTACATTGTTAAAACCTGGCAAGAGCACTAGCCAGGAGCCTGCAGGCGGGGCTCCCTGCGAACGTCCGAGCAGGGCTGCGTCTGCGCTCGGCCCCCGCGCCCCCGCCCGCGCAGCGGCGCAGCGGCGCAGCCTCCGGCTCGGACCGGCCGAGCGCCGTGCCCATTTAAGGAGGAGGACCGTACCACCAGAACTTTCTTGACAGGGGGGGGTTATTCTGGCGAACTCGGAGAACTTGACGTGAGCCAAAAGACGTTTTCCCTACCCTTCCATCGCCGACCCGAGGTCTGGTTCTGTTCGGTGGCAGCTGCGAGCTTGTGGGCTTTGAGTGTGGGCCTCTTCCCTTCCTTTCTGCCAAATAGCCCTGCGACATCGCGCTGCCTCTGAATTCGGACGCTGTGTTCCCCCGCCCCGTCCAAAGTGTAGTTCGCCTGCGGAGGCCCCGGTGCCCGGATGTCCATCAGGATTAGTGCGAGCCAATACGCTCGGAGCCGGAGGCTGTGCTGAGGACGCCCGGCTCGGGAGCAGGTAGTCCCGCAACCTCGGGGAGCCGCGCTGGGGAGCCGTCCCCGCCTGGCTCCGGCCAATGCTGAGCGCGGCGCTGGTAGAAGGGCCGCGGGTGGAAGGCTCTCATGGACAGCAGACCCTGAGCTCTACCAACTGAATTATGGCAGCCCAGTCAAGGTAAGCCAGGCACGGGGAGAAACTTTTAAAATGTGTGAGTGGCGAGGGGAATTGAAGGTTGCGGGGGGGAAGGGTTGGGGTGCTGCGAAGAAGACGGGCAGGAAGCAGCTTTGTCATCGCTTTCTCATCATTCCTGATGCCGGGGGTCGTTATTTCATGTCAGATAAAAAACGGTTTGGAGAACATGCCAGACAGTTCCTGTAGAGGAGAGCAGAGCGATTGAGTTCAAGTTAGGATTCAAGTGAAATTTCTCTCCCCTCCTAAAAGCAGGCGTTCATTTCAGAGAAATTAAGTTGATTTAACTTGTCTGCCTTTGCCCAAATTTTCAGTTTCTTTGTGCACTTCCTTTGGTTCTCCTGACCCCCCCCCCCCCCTTTCCCTCCAGTGTGGTGAGCAGAGTTTTATAAACCAATTAATGTAAAACAGTTAACCTGAGTGGGGGGGAGGTTGAGAATTTGCCTAGTGAGTGATTGAAAATTTTACTGCTAAAATGTACGATTCCACATAAAACGACACAGCTTGAATCTGCTGAGTAGGCAGAGCCCAGGAATGGACCGGGGTTGCTGAAGGGGAGACGATAATGAACAGCAGTTGGTGTCTGAGGAACGCTATTGTAAGAACCTCGAGCTCTGACTTTCCGTGGTTTTCTTACTTGTTTTATAATATGAGCACTAACGATTGATGATGACAGGGCATTATTGATTATTATAAGAGTCAGACTGTTGTGTGATTTCATTTTAGTTGTGACAGCAGTTGGTGCTAAGGGAAACTTAGGAGTTATGTATACGTTCTTTTTTTAACTTTTAGTTTTACTAGAAAGCAGTTTGGGGGTCACACATTTAAAATATTATGAGGGCTCTTCAAGTTGATATTTGTGGTACAGTGATTTGGGGACATCTTTGAAGGCTAACCACATTTCATTTCTGAGGACCCAGATAGATCACTGGGAGAAATAGAAGTTTCGATGTTGAAGTTTGGACTAGATGAGACTTTGAAAAATTTCCCTAAGAGATAGGCCTACCTAGGAAGAAAACGGAACTCCACTATATAGAGCATCTCCTGTGTGCTACCTGCTTTGTATATTTAATCTCCTCAACTCAGAGTTTAACCCCTGCCCGCATTTTATTGGTTGTTCTAGGAAAGGGGTTCTTAACTTCAAGCTAAGTAGTTGAAAAACTTGGACAAGAAACAAAAGTTGCCTCTATTTTCGCTAACCTCTACTGAAATTTAACTGCCAAAGGGGTCCATGGCATAAAGCCTTATATTAAGATACCTTTACCTAAGAAATTCAGTCAAGACTAACAGAGCTCAGTAATACAGAGCTGGGATTTGAACTCAGGTGTGAGTGATTGCAGTGGCCGAACCCTTAAACTAATTAGGAATAAACGGATTTAATAGCTACATTGGACATTGCTGCATGCCAGTCCCAGCAACTTTAATTGGATTACCTCTGACTCCTCAGTCACTTAAGTAGGCAAGTGCTTTTATTTTCACATTAGGTTAGTTAAGGAAACTGAGACCCATTCGGCCTGTTTCTTGCCTGAGGTCACACAGGTAGAGCACTTCCTTACTTCCAGGCTGCCTCCTGAAGGCTGAAGTGAGGTGTTACAAGGGCGCTGCAAAGCCTCAGTATAAATGTACAAAAAGCAATTTCTGCTAAAAGTGCTTTATGCCCTGGCCGGTTTGGCTCACAGGTTAGAGCGTTGGCCTGTGGACCAGAGAGTCACGGGTTCGGTTCCTGCCAAGGGCACATACCTCGGTTGCAATTTGTCCCCAGCCCGGTTGGGGTCATGTGGGTGGCAGCCAGTCGATGTGTCTCTCTTACATCAATGTTTCTCTCTCTCTCTTCTTCCCTCACTCCCTCCCGCTCTATCTAAAAAAAAAAAAAAATGTGTTTTGCTCCAAGATGTAATAATCTGAGTTATTTGTGTGGTAGTTCCAACTCATCAGCAATTGAAACAGGAGGACTGGACAGATTTCATTCTTTTACCTGGCCATCAGACATGCCCTTGAACTAGGAACAAAGCCGCAGGCCTATGATGTGTGTTGTTTTCATAGTCTGCATAATGGGAGTATATCTCACAAATTATAAATGTCCATTTTCTTCAGTTACATCTGGAATGTGGTCCAAATTCATTTAGACACCGTGCTTTGTGGGAGAGTGGGTAACCTTTGAAATCCAAAGAGAGACTCTGTGGAGAAGGTTGCAGATATTTGTGGATTTCAGGGAAACCTCAAAGCTGGGCCAAGTTGCCCTGAGTAGTCCTAAGTGAAACTGAACCATCATCTATGATATATAATCTGGGGTAGTAAGATCTTGTCCATGTGCCACACACAGTATCTGTTTGCTCTTGAAACAAGTAATTTAGATTGCTGAACTCATTGGACCTAACAGCTCAGTTTGTTCTAACCACAGTAGTTTCATTGTGCACTGTTTAAATTTGATTTTTTTTCTTTTCTTTTTTTTGGTGGAAGAGGTAGGTGGGAACTTAGCCGAAACTGAATTTTATAGTACTATAGTGAATACATGAGCTGATCGTGGCACTTTTCTCTCATTATTTGTCATTGTTATAAAGTAATATTCTTGATTTGTTACTGATGGGTGGTATGTGACTAATTTTCCATGTTACATAGGTTAGGCAGTGTATTCCTTTTCCAAAATTAGCAGAATATTACCTCACATTTTTTTTGTATCCCCTGCATAAGCTAGAGAATCTCTGAATAAGGGAGGGACCTATCCAAGTATTTCTTGTCTTGTGAATTTTTATAAATTGTGGTTGTATATTCTTCTTCCTCATTTTAAAATCTACAAGTAGGAAATTGATTGTTTTCTTTTGCTTTGTGGTTGATTTCTTCTCTAGAAAAAGAATACATTTATGGAGAGAGGTAAATTGCCTACATTTTAAGAATTAGAATTTGGGCCCTGGCCGGTTTGGCTCAGCGGTTAGAGTGTCGGCCCACGGACCAGAGAGTCCTGGGTTTGGTTCCCGCTAAGGGCACATACCTGAGTTGCAGTCTGTCCCCGTCCCTGGTTGGGGTCGTGTGGGTGGCGACCAGTCGATGTGTCTCTCTCACATCGATATTTCTCTCTCTCTCTCTTCCCTCCTCCTTCCCTCCTGCTCTGTCTGAGGATAAATGCAAAAACAAAACAAAACAAAACAAAAAACCCTCGGGTGAGGATAAAAACAAACAACAAAAAAAAACTGTTAAAAAAAAAAAGAATTAGAATTTGGGTCAATATTTTGAGAACATTGAATATTTGGATTGAGTTACCGGAGTTGTAGAGGAAGGCAATCACTTGGAAATGCAGCCTTAGTAATTACAGCAGGAGTGTGCTCTGCCTCAGCTCTCAGATTAGTGTGTGCTTTCTCAGGAACCTGTAAGCACAACAGATACATTGAGTACACTTACCTATGGGAATTGTAACATACTTGCTTTCTCTAATGTGAAATAGTTACATGTTCTTGATTTTGTTTCCAAATTTTGATTTAAAGCCCAGGGAGACTATATTTTTATAAAAGTATATAACCTGGCATGCCCTCTTTTTTATTGACTTTTTTTTTTTTTCTTAGAGAGAGAGAGAGAGAGAGGAAGGGAGTGAGAGAGAAACATCTATGTTTCTGCCATAGATTGGCTGCCTCCTGCACGCCCCCTACTGTGGATCAAGCCTGAAATCCGGGCATGTGCCATGACCTGGAATCGAACTGGGACCTCTCAGTCCATGAGACAACACTCAGTCCACTGCACTGAGCCACACTGGCTGGGCAGGCATGCACTCTTTTGAGAACTGTAATAGATAGAGGTGGACATGGAATCCCAACAGTTTGCAGATCTTTTTTATGAGGATTAGCTTCATATTGAGGACTATGTCGATGGATAAAATAGAAGGGAGGGCTTTGTGTGGTTCCCCATCTCCGCTCACCCCTTCATTGAAGCAACTCCTGAATTACAGAAAGGAAAAAATATGTATGTGTACACACACACACTTTCAACTACCATCAGGGATTAGCTGGTTTTAAAATGCACCTTGTGCTACCTGAGAAGCCCTGGCCCACCCCTGCCCTGGCAGGGAGGGGTGCAGAGGTGGGAGTGGAGGAGTTGAACAATCTTCTTTAGGAGAGTAGCATCTGGTGACTTGAGAACATCTCAAAAGAAAGCACTTTCACATAAACAACAAAAGGAAATTAGGTTGCCCGGCTGGGTGGCTCAGTTGGTTGGAGCATCGTTCTGTACACCAAAAAGGTTGTGGGTTCAGTTCTTGGTCAGGGCACATACCTAGGTTTTGGATTCCATCCTTGGTGATGGTGAGTACAGGAGGTAACTGATCAATGAAATGGATCAATGTCCCCTCCCCCCCCCCCCCCCAAAAAAAAATCAGTAAACCTATCCTCTGGTGAAGATTAAAAAGGAAATTAGGTCTATCAACTCTAACACAGTTTTTTTGTTTGAATTTGACTTGTTAATATTAATGAAGTCTTTTTTTAAAAAATTAAGCAAAATCAGATTGTTCCCAAGATTAATCTGAAGCCAGTTTTTGGTGGCTGTCTTTGACTTTGGTGAGGGGAAATTTTTCCATTACAAAAAAGGCAGTGCTGCCCTGGCCGGTTTGGCTCAGCAGTTAGGGCGTCGGCCTGTGTTCCAGAGAGACCCGGGTTCGGTTACTGCTAAGGGCACATACCATGGTTGCAATTTGCCCCTGGCCCTGGTTGGGGTTGTGTGGGTGGCAACCACTCGAAGTGTCTCTCTCACATCGATGTTTCTCTCTCTCTCCTTCCCGCTCTCCCTCTTGTTCTATCTGAAGATGAATGCAAAAATGTCCTTGGCTAAGGATTAAAAAAAAAAAGGCAATGCTGTTAAACTGGTATAGAACCAGTCTTGCTCCGCCCTCTGCCCTCACCCCTGATTTATAAACTGCTGATACCTGGGAAGAAAATTCCGGAAGCAAAGAAGCTCTTAATAAATATAAGCAAGTATCAAAGATCATCGCTATAGTATTTTGG